TCTAACATGCTGCTAAAACCACCCACAGTCATAATGCAGTCACACAAACCCAAAAGGTAAACATGAAACAGAGAGAGAGAGCGAGAGAGAGAGAGAGAGCGAGAGAGAGAGAGAGAGAGAGAGAGAGAGAGAGAGAGAGAGAGAGAGAGAGAGAGAGAGAAAACCGCTAATATTTATCTGGATGGAAACATGCTTCTCAGGCCAACTGCTTTGATTTCACCTTGAATCGAAGGACAGCTCGCTCCACCCAAAACACCACAAGAATGTGCGTGCTGGAATTCCAATAGGCTTCAGTGCAAAGCGTCGCTTGAAATGACAACTTTAGAGTGTGTGTACCTTGCCTCAACAAGCAAGTGCTATGCCGAAGTGCACCCATGCCAAAAAAACAAATAAAAAACAGACAAACCAGTTGGGGAAATGTGACAACACTACAGGCACTACTTTTGCTGGTTAGTTACACACTGAAAACCAGTGAGGTAGAGCTTCCATTACAGGCTTTAATTGGGCTTTTCTTTAGCTGGCAGAGCTCCTCTATCACACTGAGAAGGGACAAGGGGTTGGGGAAGGGAGGGGGGAAGAAATCTGTTGAGAGGATTTGTGCCAAAATATCAATGGAAGCTCTGAATTTGAGGCTTGTGTCGATGAGAACAGACACACCTTTCCTGGGACTGTTTCTAACAAGACAATAAACTGCCTTTTTGTGCAGCGCAGGTATTCTGAAGAAGCCTCTAAAAATCTATAAGTGCATCATGTGTCTGACAAGCTGCAGCCTTAGCAGTAAGATACGGCACAAGCCTGCGTGAACCCATCAGAAGTTTTTGACTTGGATTAGTTGAGGACAGCAGGACAGACTCCCCCATACCAGACTGTCAGGCGGAAACAAAGGGATGAGAACTGTTGGTGCTGAAGCAAAAGAGGTTTGGCTTACTTGGGGGAGCTCCAGACAGGTTTATCTGAAACCCTAGAGGTGAGAAGACAGCTTTAATTTTCTTGTATTTCACCTTCAACTTGCCAGCTCTTCCTCGAGAGACTGATTGATCAGATTGACTTCACCGTCCCTGGCTTCACAAATCTGCCCACTTCTTCCCAAAAAAAATCTCCAAAAGGTTGACAAATAATCACAGAAATTGGCCGTCAAACATTCTATCGCGGGTTAAATGCATTTTTGGGAGGGTAATGCATTAGCATGCACACGAGGTCATGAAACAGCTACAAGCACGATGAAGACTCAGTCAATGAAGGAGGCAAAACGACCTGCAGGTAAAACAAAAAAAAGGGGGATCTGGAAGTGAGTATGAATTACCATCATGGAGTGGTTTAGACAGAAAAACAGATTGAAAACATTATATTTTGTTCTTGGGACAGCTCACCATCAGTCAGCATCATGTCAGGAGTTAGGAATCATTAGTTAGCAGCATTAGGGTAAAAAAATGAAATTCAATCAGGGAGATGTAAATGGAAACAACATTACACAACACAGCTACATGTCAGATAATTATGAATTTAAAATCAGATAAATCAAAGCATTTCAAGGCTAGGGTATCACTACTGTTAGGCTTCATTAAAGTAGCATCTACTTTATTGTGCTGGGAGGTACCAGGGATACAAAATTAGCATGCAACACAATTGTACTGATTAAAATCATTGATTCTACACCAAACAAGCTATATTCAACATCATCAATCAGGGAATTTTATATCAGTAGCGAGAATAATTGTGCAAAATCAAAATGTACGGCAGGTGCGATTAACGTTCTCTTTAGAATTTATTTCATCAAGAGTGAAAAATTGGATTTCTAATCAAATCAAACGTCTGATCTTAATCTACCAAGTCAGTAAAGTGTGTAGCTACCTGTTTCACTCTGACATCTCCAGCAGGTGTTGGACTCTGAAAGTTAAAATGAGAGAATGTTTGTACAAAAATATAGCATTGCAATGAGCATTCGGTTTAGTGGTGCCGCTTGTTTGGATGTGTCAAGACAAAGCCGTCTCAGGTTTCACTCCTCACTCTGTTCAAGACACCACAGAAAATCACTGCTTAATAAATGTGCAGAGAATGTCTGGAAACCAGCCAAACTTCATGATCAAATTGAGCTACTTGATTTTGTTTTTTTGCACACTGCCATCTACAAACACAGAATGTGACATACCTTCATTATATATTTAACTGGGATGGTATTTTTGATGAATTCGGCATATTTAACACCAACATAGCTCCAGTATAATTCATGTGTGTGTGTGTGTGTGCGTGTGTGTGTGTGTAAGAATAGCTTGGATGTCAAGGGTGCTGCAGCCCAAATTAATAAACACATATTTAATCCATTCGGCATAGTTTGTCTGTTTGTAATATATGACTGAGTTAAAATGTCTAATCCGAATCTACTATATTCTTAAATATTACCGCGATGCAAAATTAGCAGTTTTTTGAATGGAGTTTGGCGTAGCAATAAAGAACAGAATGTAACGGGGCTAGAAAATGACAAAATGTCAACAACAAGGGAATCTAATACATTTTAAAAGAAATTCTGTCTTCCAGTCGATGAACACAGATAGCTAACAATCGTCCTCTTGGGAGAGAACTGGCTGCTAGTCCGCTCCCCTGGGAGGATTTTCCAGCCCTGGGAGTAGCCTGAGCCTCCCACGGCTAGCCCTGCTAACGTTAACCTTCACTGCAGCACACTGGGCTCCCCGCTTCCAGCACACGTTCCCCCCACCGCCGTGCACTCACCCTGCATGCTGCTCATGGTGGTAATGTGCTGCGACTGGGACTGGTGGTGGTGGTGCGTCGCAGATCCCGCGTTGTTGCTGCTGTTGTGGCTGCTAGGTGTTGTTGAGTTGTTAGGACTGGGAGTCGCCATTGTTGTGTGTTTGAATTCCATCAGCAGCGCCGGGCTGCAATGCAGAGACGCGGAGAGGCAACTTCACCGCTTCCCCCTCCTGCTACCGGTCCCCGCCGCTCCTCTAACGGCAGCTTTACCGGCAGGTAGCGACCGTACAGGAGTTTATTCAGTTATTAGAAACTGCTGGAAGTTTTGGGGCTGCGTTAACGGACGCCTATGTAGTAACGTTAACAAAAACAAACATCCAGCTAAGCTAGGCTAACTTAACTGGCTAACCGAGAGGCTTTACGAGCCGCAATCAGCTGACCGAGTGACACCGACATGTCAACACCCACAGACCGAACCGACACAACCGGCAGCTGCTGGCGGACACACTGCCGGTGTTTACTACCGGTGCTTTCAAAATAACACACAGTGTAGCCTGGCTAAATGCTAACAAGGTAGCTTTGTCAGCTAAACTTTAGCAATGGTGACTATAGCAAACCAAAACTGCCTTAATGATAAATATGTAATAAATAAATGACTCAATAAATACATAAGTACATACATTCATACATAAAATAATAAAAACGGAATCTAGAATTGAAAGCCTTACCTACCAAGCAAATTTACGTTAGTGGAAAAATAAAAAGTATATATATATATATATATATATATATGTTTTTTTATTATTACTATTTATTTATTTTATTTACCTATTTATTTAAATTATTTGTTTCCTATTGTGGAAGTTTTGGTTATCTGTAGTATTGAGATCAGAAGTTAAAAAAAAAAACTATATGGAAACACTTCATTCACAGCTAACCACGACATTCAAGGAACATCCAGGGAACATCCCCTGAATGTTTTGTGATGTCCCTGCAGAAATAAACAATTAAATAGTGACGCATCACTGTCAGAAGCATGTTACTGTTGGAGCTGCTGCAGGTGGAGCTCATTCACACATTGTTTTATATACTCTAAAATAGAATAGAATAGAATAGAATAGAATAGAATAGAATAGAATGTACTTTGTTTATCCCAGACCTGGGAAATTATTGTAATATTAAACACAAAATTATTGTATTGTATTTGTAACACATGTTTTTATGCATTTGAGTCATTTATTTATTTAATTAATAACTTTTTTTTGCCGTTTTGGTCCTATGTAGTAGTCAGATCAGAAGTAAAATTATCAATAAAGCAGCAGAAAATGGGGATATCATTAGATATCCAGTAAAGCATCTGGAGTAGCTTATGTTGCATCTGCGCTCAGATGTTCGTCGCTTTGGATAAAAGTGTCTGCCAAATGAAACTGTAGAATTGTAGTAATTTTACGTAGTTACTTTCCACTACTGGGGATTTACTAAAATATTTTCAGGTGCAGGACAAAAATAGAAAAATCTTGTAAATACCCCAAGAAAACTTCCCCAAAACGTGGCCGTATAGGTGCAAGTAATAAGGTTTTTACGTGCACTTGATTATATTTTAAAACAGATATACACAACCAAAACAATGCATCTGTGTCATTTTATACAGTCACTTACAAAATCAGCAGAGCAAAAGGAAAGTAGAGACTAAGGTTTGGAGCTGATTCACCTACAAGCAACTAAAAATTATACACAAGTTTACGGTCATGATTGTCTTATTGTGTAAATATATATCGGATGTTGTATGTCTGCCTTTGAGCTAACTTGACAGCACTGCGGGCTTTGTGAATGTGTGCTCGTTTGGATCACCGGGGCGTCCAGGTTAAAAAAAAATCATCCAAGATTTAATGCAATATATTCAATTACACGAGACGCATATTGTTTTTATTCTTAAAGTAGAAGATATTTCGATGAGATTACATGTTGAAACAGTTTTGTTATCACCTAACTGCACCATTTGGTGGAGTGTTAGCAATTGTACAACATACAATTACAAAATACAAATAAACTCCCACCTATAATAGCAATTTGTGAGCGAAAAGAGAGCTAGAACTAGGTTGTGATTTTGTGTTTAACTCATTTGGGTGAAAATAGCTTTAAATAATTTGATAATTGTGGTCCAGGAGCAAATTACTCGGCACACATTTCGTCTGACTAAGTAGAAATCGAGCGAACCCTCAGTGTTTAATCAGCCTAGCAGCGAGTGCGTCTGCTTTCTGACGTCGGTACGTCCCGCTCGGCCGGGCGGGGAGGTTCCAATCAACGATGGGAGAAGTTTGCAGCGAGAAGAAGTCATGGCTGTGTGTGATTTGGCAAATCTGCAACGTTTTCATGTCTCTCTTCTTCGCTCTCGCATCATATGTACAGGTGAGTGTGTTTATTTGGAGGTGTTTTCTCTGCAGCTCTGTGAATTGTGATCAGTAACTGTGTCTCGACCTCTTCCTGCAGATCAATGATCCAGACGCTGGTTTATGGATGGTACGAACTGCAGCTATTCAGCAAACTATTTTATATATTGATAGATTTGTTTGTCTGTTTGTTTGTTTAACACCACGCTCCTGTTGCAGGTTGGTTATGGTGTTCCTGCAGCCCTGTGTGCATTTATTGGCTTGAATTCTCATGTGACAGGTACAGACATAAGTTTAGATGTACAGTACCAGCTAGTCACTGTCATGTTTCGCTTAGATACATTGCCTGTTAAGATTAAAAACCTAACATGCAGGGATCAGAGGTCATGAACTTGCCCACTTTCTTAGTTTCCTGTTTTCCACACTTAACATCAGGCTGTTGAACTCTACTCTAGTGCTTTTCTTTGGAGCTCATAGCACCATCAAGTGGCTTTATCATGACTGTACAGCTGATAGCAGACGTCAGTTTTTGCTTTTTAGCATTTTTTCCTCTCTTTGCATTGCAGAGACTTTGCCCTGGAGACGTGTTGCTGATCTCCATGTGATGATTTCCAGCGCAGTCGTTGCCATGCTAGGATGGACCATTTACCAAAAGAAAGTCACACAGATCTTCCAGCAGGAGGAGGGCAGGTACACCGGACGTGATCTAAAAGCACTGTTTTTGCAAGACTTTCATCATTAAAACCTAATTTTGACAGATTTACCTTCAAATCACAAGCCTTATATATGCAGTGTTACACTTATAGTCGCCCCTCCACTCAAAAATGTGCCTTTTTTCAAAATGTATTCGTAACACTACACACCAAACAAATAGAGAAGAAGAAGCACCCCTATCTAATGACATACAAGAATTCTTCTGCACAAGATTTCAACAAATTTACTCCAACTACGCCCTTATCCCTCGAGTGACACAAGTCTCAACTCGATCTCAAGACTTCACAAAAGCTGCCACCGTCTTTATCACAAAACGGGAGAACAAGTGCAACGACCGAGGACCGTACCAAACATCATAGATGAAAGAAATTTTTCTAAATAAATAAATAAAAAATGTAATTACAATAATGTCCACAAAATAGCCCATACACTTGAAATCAGGTTTTAAAAAAGCAGATGACTGTGCATGTAATTTATTTTTCCATCTCCAGAGAATTCTCTGGTCTCATGTTGACCGTCGTTTGGCTTCTCCTCTGTCGCCACTCTGGAAGGTGATGTTATGAATGCAACCATTTCAAATGTTTATTCTCACACCCTTCTTTTTTTTTTTTTTGTTTTTTAAATGTACGCTGCTGATTAAATGTGTCACCTTACAGAGTCTTTGTCTCCTCTCCCGCAGAGCTCCTGTTGGGATGCTCAGAGTCTCCACAGCTGTTGCCATCACAGTGTTCCCCTTTGTGGCCTGGCTTTACTACTACATCAATAAGGAGCTGAGATCAGACTGGCCTTCACATTGTCAAAATGCTATTTAGACGTCCACTCTTTGCCTTTTTTGACTGACAAAACATTCCTGTTTGTTTTGTTTTTGACTGAAATTCTTGAACCACGAATGTTCCTTTTGTAATATTGTTAAAGTCTCTGTCCAGTTGTTGATTAAACTTCTAAAGACTCGTGTCTGTGTCAAAGTTTAAATTTAGAAGCCAATGAAAATAACCTCTTTCTGCTTTAAAATGGTTCATNTGCATGTGTGAAATTTTGGCTGACTCTGTTAAGGAGTGAAGCTGCTCACTTCTGCCACAGTAATTCTTCTATTTTATTTTAAGTAAGGCAGATCGCACCATCCGTCGTTGTTTGAGCCAAAGTGGACTTCATGGGAGACGACCAAGGAGGACACCATTGTTGAAAACAAATCATAAAAAAGCCAGACTGGAATTTGCCAAACTGCATGTTAACAAGCCACAAAGCTTCTGGGAGAATGTCCCATGGACAGACGAGACAAAACTGGAACTTTTTGGCAAGGCACATCAGCTCTATGTTCACAGAGGCAAAAATGAAGCACATCAAGAACAGAACACTGTCCCTACTGTGAAACATGGAGGAGGCTCTGTTGTGTTCTGGGGTTGCTTTGCTGCATCTGGCACTGGGTGTCTTGAATCTGCACAGAGTACAGTGAAATCTCAAGATTATCACGGTATTCTAGAGAGAAATGTGCTGCCCAGTGTCAGAAAGCTTGGTCTCAGTTGCAAGTCATGGGTCTGATGTATCTGCTGTTAAAGGTCTCCTCAGGAAATGGAAATACTTCTATTACTACCACTACCAATAATAATAATAATAATTATATATATATATATATATATCCATCCATTATCTATACACCGCTTGATCCTCACTGGGGTCTTATTATTAATACGAATAATACGATTTTTTATTTTTTTAAACATCCTTCTTCTTATACAGCCTATGCTTTAACACTAAACTTCCTGTAGGGGGAAGCAGAGAGCACAACCTCTAAATATATGGTAGAAGAAGACGTGTGAGACGCTACTTCCTGTGTTTAGTAACCGCTACCAACACTGATCTGAGAGCAGCCTGTTTAGTATCAAATGGACTATTTAAATAATACTGATATAGTAGAACCGACCCCAGAACAGTAGTTTGAATACCGTATTTCCCTTGACTTATCACGTTTTATCAAAATAGCTGCCGCTTCCTTGTCGCCGCAGCGCTTCTGTGAAGGTCCACCATGGCTCTGAGTGTTTTCTATCACAGCCTGGGCTGCCGGCTGATCCACAGCAAAGTCCTACAGAACCGGGCCGTCAGACTCACGCACAGTGTTTTACAGAGAGAAGCCGGACTGAAACACACGCTGTCAGCGCAGAGACTCCACTGCTACCTGGTAGGTCAAAGCTAGGAGCTGCTGACATCAGAGGCAACACCAGACTCCATTCAGAAAGTAGCTCAATTAACGTTCTCATTTGTGGAGCCACATTTCTAAGCTAGCTCAGCTTTAACATTTTATCGCCATTTATCAGCTTTGCATGCATTTAAACCACCAAGTTAAAACCCTAATTTCATCTTCGTTTACCTAAACGTGTTTTATGACAGAGTTATAAAGCAAAGTCTAATTTTTGCAGCTAATTACTTGAGGTGCTATCCATAGTAGTTGCCTGGATTGAAAGACCATTATAGGTATATAGGGTAACATGTTTGACTACTAGATATTAGCACTAAACCTCCCCTGTTAATTATTTACAATAAGAATGCTTTTTGATGTTTACATATTTTCTTGTACATATGGTTTTACAGAGGAAGTTTTCAGATCTGTTTATCACTTCATAAATCAGAAGACACTGTCAACAGCCAGGAATGTTTTCCCCCATGTTTTTAGTAATAAAATAATTTATAAATCAGTGAAATATTAAAATATATGAACAAAACCCCTCCGTAAAACCCTTCAGAATACAGATAGGGATGATACTGGAAAGTCTGGCATGTGTAAATGTTATTAAAGTGGATATTTTGGTTCAGAGAATTAGATAAAAGTCATTTTGGAAAAGTCATAATCTTCAACTCATACATATCACCTGGAAAGTTTATTTACTTGAATATTATTTTTTCGGCATTGCAAGTTTTTATGTTTTAGTCTGAAATTAGACATGTTTTGGAAGCAAAAAGTCTCAAAACCGACCAGTGAGTGAGAAAAAAAACATGTTGATTTGCCTGCCGTGTCTCACCTTGATTATTAATAATTTAGAAAACATCTCCAGTTGCACCACCTGGCTCTCCATCCAGCACCACCACCTTAAGCAAATGTTTGAATGAAGTTTGGCATGATGCCTCGATGCTGTTTTTTTAAAAGTTTAACAGACGCTGAAAGCTTTATATTGATATATATGACTTTCGCTCCAATCATTTCTCTTTTTCCCATGGTTGGTCATTAACAGGCGAATGTGAGCCAGCAACACACCGGCAGAACAACACAATGGCTCAGTCAGAACTGCTCGAGAACATTTTCCTCGTTGCCTTCACAGCCCCCATCAAGTGGTAAATCCAAGAAATTTGGGGTAAGTGTTAAAGTGTGTTAAAGTTCTAGCCTCACAGTTTGACGGGGCTTCACTGAAATCCAGCTAGAAAGAAATGTAGTCAGGTCAGTCTTGAGGGTTGCTTCTGTCATACAGGGCAAGGACATGTCTGGGATTGAAGACATACAGTTCATTTTATCTGTCACGATGCAGTAAGTTCAAATGTTGTAAATGCAGTGAACAGCAACCACATCTGGTGGCTTCAGCAGTCCAATAGTGAATCATGCACTACAATCAATCCTAAAGCGAATGCAGATATTTTATGCCTGCATTTCTACATGTTGCTTTGTCTTAATTATTGTTAACATAAAAGCTGCAACCTGTTGCTCAATACCACATAGAGTTTCACATTTGTCGACCAATAAGAGTGAGTTGGCCCTCGGGTTGTAGGTTCGATCCTCAACCTGAGGGGTTTTCTCTAAGCAAGAAACTGAAGCATATTCATGTGGGTAAAGTTTAAGCCACATAAACAGACTGGAATCATTAAATGTAATGGTGATGTGCAGTTAACACTTAATTAAACCTGTTAAAAGAATGACGACGTTAACTGAAAGGTTTTGGTAAAGACATTTCTGCTTAAAATGTGACTCCTGTCAAGGCTTCTAATACTTAACTTTAACAATGTCATTAGTCGCATAGAATCACCTCTTAAACTCAAAAAGTACTTAAGACATTAAATGGAGGCTGACCCAGAGGATAGTCAGCTGTAAAAAAGATTTTATTAAGAGTGTATTAGCAAGGAGAGAATCAACAAAAAGCAATTGTCTTGAAATGTAAATACAGTACAATAATGTTCCTGTTGTTAATGTGCCTTTTCTTTTCTTGTTGTCCCCACATTAAAGCCAGTGACGTGGAAATCTTTAGCAATAACATTTGCTATCGGAGGTGCTCTGCTGGGAACGATGAAATATTTCAAGCAAGAAAAGGAAGAGTGTAAGTATTTAACTGCTTAATGTGCTGTACTCCACAAATTAGGGTCATGGTAGAATTCCAAACAAGGTAGTGGATTTATTGAATAAAGCAATAGTTTTATAGTTGAAGCTCAGATTTTAGCGTAAAAGTCTGGTAAATAGCAGTAATAACCTGCCTTTTTAACTCTGTGTGGTGTTGCAGTGCTTGAAAAAGAAAGAACCAAATCGATAGGGAAAGCGGCGCTGGGCGGTCCGTTCTCGCTCATCGATCACAACAACAAGCCTTCAAAGAGTGAGGACTTCTTCGGTCAGTGGGTCCTCATCTACTTTGGCTTCACTCACTGCCCCGACATCTGCCCAGATGAGATCGAGAAAATGATCGAGGTGGTGGAGGAAATAGGTAATAAAAGCTGTTTTTGTTCTAAGACGCGACAAACGTTTAATGCCTGAGGGCCTCATTTGACTAAATTTACATCTTTTTCCACAGACAAAATAAAGTCTATTCCTAACCTAACACCGATCGTCATCACCATCGATCCTGACAGGGACACACCAGAGGCCATGGCTGCATACGTGAAAGGTAAAAAGTCACAGTGGCAAACATTCAGCAAACTGTGGGTCAACAATTCTCTACAAAATTCTCAACAAAGTATACTTTCCTTTGCGGAGAAAAATACCTGAGTGCACCTGTGCAGGTAATTATGTGCATAGAGGCAGGGGATGCTCATGTCCAGGTGTTGCAGCTAAATAATAAACTTAAAAATGCTGTAATGATTGAGATAGATCACTGTCAGTCTGTGTCAATTCATATAACAGTGTGGCTGCACTGTCTCAGATTTTGTTTACTTGTTATTTGGGATCCAGCACTAAGTTGTGCTAGCTGTTTTCAAAAAAAGTACAGAATTATGAAATGTGGTTGTCTTGAGGCCCCAGAAAGCTCCTGTAAGTGTATATTTCTGAGGTAAAAATACAGTCTTTGGTCTACAATTCACCACATTTTGAGGCCTCTAACATCAATAGAATTTGATGATCTCTTTATCATCAGTATATGCGCTAAGTTACAGACTACTGCCACTCATAATAATAATTAAGCTGGTATAATGATAAATAGAGAGAATAATAATAATAATAAACTGAGAAAAAAAATTTTAAAAAGAAAAATGATGCAGAAGAAGCAAAAAAAAAATGTCTTTCCTCTTTCATGCTAAGTTGCAGTTGCTTCCATGTTGTCATAATGTTCCTGAAAAATGACCAAATGTTCTCATACTTATACCTGAATTGAACAATGAGCAGAGAAACTGATGATAACTGAACACACGTCACATTAAATCATGTTTGTTGAAGCTTGTTCTTGGCAAGTGAAAGAGAAGTGAAACAAGAGATCGGTGCTGTACTAAAAGCAGTGAATGAAATGTGAGATGGTGCAGCAACACATTTCCTCCATTCCACCTGAAACGACAAGGACTGACTCATCCACTTTTCAGGTGCAGCAGGTTTCTTCCTGTTACAGAAGTTTGGCAAAATATGTTCAGAATAAGTGTGAACAACACAAAGAGCAAAATCTGTACCATGTACCTTGTTCAAACATGTTGAAGCAGCTGAAACATCAGGTGTAGAAACAACATTCTAACTAAAGTGATGAAGTGTGTCAGCGACGCTCTGCTCTGAGTGTAAATACATTTTAGAGGTGGCAGTAAATACTGACAGGTTTCCTGGACTGGTAAAGTTGCTGTGACACTATTTGTCATTTGTTAAAATGAGTTTTATCAGCACATGGGAAAAAAACATTCACTGTCATTTAAACGAGTATTGATTGTTAACGGGGCTCACTGTCGACTAAGGAAATGGTTTCAAATTGCATCCCTAACCACAATAAACCAAAAAAAAGTCAGGATAGATAGATAGATAGATAGATAGATAGATAGATAGATAGATAGATAGATAGATAGATAGATAGCAACTTTATTGATCCCAAAGGAAATTACATTGTTTGTCAACTGCTCTCATTCACACAGTTCCACAAATTAAGTTACTAAAATGTTGCCAAACAGCCAAGTATAAAAATTTAAATTACTTAATTGCTAAGTCAGAGAGTTGTGCAATCTAATGGCACAAGGGACAAAAAAACTTCCTCAGTCTGTCAGTGGAGCAGCCCTGGGACAGCAGTCTACTGCTGAACCTCTCCATGAAGGCCCCATGCAGAGGATGGGAGGCATTGCTCATGATGGCCCTGAATCTGGACAGAGTCCTCTCCTCTGCTACCTCTTCCACAGGAGCCAGCTTGCATTTCTTTTGAAGCACTTTCATACTGGAGAGTGAGAACCTATTGGACCTCCCACAAAACAACGTGCTTTATGGGACAGCACTCTTATTTATCTTGTCTCATTAAATCCTCATTATGGTGTTTTTAGAGCTCTGTTTTCTTTATGTATTTTTCAGAGTTTTCTCCAAAGCTGATTGGTCTGACGGGGACGACGTCTCAGGTTGAGGAGGTTTCCAGAGCCTACAGAGTGTACTACAGTCAGGGGCCCAAGGATGAAGACAACGACTACATCGTGAGTTGTAGCTGGCTCTCAATAGCAGGATCATGTAGAAAAAATAAATACATGGATTTTCTTTCCGTGAAGACATACAATTGTCTGATTTTTTCCTCTCTTCAGGTCGATCACACAATAATCATGTATCTCGTGGATCCCGAAGGAGAGTTTGTGGACTATTTCGGACAGAACAAAAGAAACACGGAGATCGCTGGCGCAATAGCAGGACACATGAGACGGTACAAGAAGGAGAAGGGAGCCCAATAAAACCCACCATGAACCGATGGATTCTGTTCACCACTCCTGTCTTATACTGGCCTCTATTTATTTTGGATACACTGGTATACTGAGATATACTGTATGTCTGCAGTGACATTCCTTTCCATGGTGTGAAGCCTGATGCTGTCGTGTTGCTCTCCGTGATTTTACATTTTACACTTTGCACTGCTGCTGAATAGAAATCATTTGGAAAAGTGGTTCCAGCTTTACAAAAATCTCCACATAAACATTCTAATGTGCTCATTGTTTTAGATTTATGGTGACACGGAAATGACTGAAGGCAAAGGATGTTTGATTTTGTGATAAAAACCAAAAACAACAATGTGGGGATTTTTATTTTATTTTATGTGTGAATGTGATCGAAGGGCACAAACCTAATTGGAAAAGTACTGAGACCCTGTTGATGGGATTCTGGCGACTTCTAGTGGTGCAATCACAGACGACACCCCAGCACTGCACCAGTGTTCATCAGGATGGTTTAGTTTTTCTAAAAAGATGTCTTTTAAATGATTTGACTGGTACTAACACGGAGCTTTGGGAGAACGTCAAGACTTAGAAACATCTTAAGTGCATTTTCCAAAGAAAATGAGTGATTGCTTATAACTTAATAACACAAGATAACAAATACAGTCAAGAAAAAGCCAGAAGATAAAAGAGATGTAAAGGATTATAATGGGTGTCTTTAATCATTGCTAACTAACTTATCTTCTTGCCTCCCTCACCTACATCCAACCTCCTACCAGTAACGATGTGAAACTGAGATACAAAGACAAATGAGAAATCCTTTGTTCAGTCGTGTCGGTCTTAAGCAACAGCATTTGTCAATTCAAATCCAACACCCACAAAGGTGTGGCGTTTGTGCGTCACACCATTTGATAAAGAGCTTCCATGTATAATGCACTCATGTTTGGTCTAGTCAAGGTGTATTTAAGTCATCATAACATCCTGAAGTGAACAGTTTCACCCATTTATCATGTCATAACATTTATAAAATTAGTTATGCTATTGTCTTAAATGCTGAGAAGAGAAAAACAGTTTGTTGTTAGTGTTATTCATATATGATTTTTAATATATGCATCTGCAGAGATGTATTTTCAGATCAGAGGTAGAAAGTTGGTCAACGCATATTTTTCAAACTATAGCTTCAAGCTGTAGGACTTGTTAATAATTCTTTTTTTTTGCACAGACCAAATAAGCCTCATGTTTATTTCACAGGAAAGATTAAAAAAGCGCAACTATATAATAACTGCATAACGATCACTGGTACAATGAAACAGAACACTTATGGTGACAGGTTCTGATGAGTGGTTCATGATAATTCACAGTAACAGAAGCATAAGAAAGATATAACAAAACAACACAGAGGATGACATAAAAATATGAAGTTCAGGTTTATAACATGTTGCAGCAAAAGGCTCATTCAGATTGAAGAACTTGAAATCCTGCTGAGATTCTGCCATCTAGAGGTTCAAACCTGCAAGTGCACACCACAAGTCATGAGTCTTGAACGTTGACTTGTATAAAACTGTTGTGAAAGAAATGAAACCATCTATTTGCTTAAAGTGTGAAGATACTCTAAATGTAGTAATTTATGAATAATGTTACAATTTTATGATTCAAAAGAATATAACAGGTGTTGATTATGTCTGTGTGAAATTAAACTCTTTTAAACTTGTTTACACTATCATGATGGATTTTGGATGCATTCAAAGTGGCATCGTAACAGACTGCATGTAGAAATTAGAGCCTCTGACAGTTTGGTTTGATTCACATGCTGCAGCGGAAAAAGTCAGACGGAAACATCCGACTGTTCACCCACACCTCTCGTTTCTTTTACCAAAATAAAGGCCACCTGAGCACAAACAGCGTGTGCAGTGTTTACAGTCTGTAGTGATGTGTCATGTGCAAAAGCTGGACAGTGAATCAGAAGAGCCAACTCTCAACTTTTTTTTTTTTTCCCGCTGCTCAGTGGTTCAGCTCAGCTCACGGTAGAACTTTGTTTTGATTGGCAGCATGGCGGCCTTGTGGCCAATCACATGTGAGGATTTAGTGCCACAGCTGATGTTACAATGGAGATGCGATGGTATCTTGAGAGCAGAAGACCCACTGAGCTGGTGGCAGGCCAAGGCCTCAGTCTTCCCCCACCTGGTGAAGGTGATGGAGGGGAGACTGTGTACTGTGGCAACATCTGTTCCTTCTGAGAGAGTGTTCTCAAAAACAGGCATTTTGCCGACAGAGAAAAACGTATGTCTACACCCACTCCACACATACAAAACTTCTTTAGTTTAACAAGTCAGGAATATTTTCTTCACACCCCTGTCGAGGATTTCCTTGTTAATACTTCCAACCATGCACAGTGATGTACGGTGTAGCCGCATATGTTCCTGCAGGCCATCAGTCGACTCACTTTACAGCCAAAGAAAGGCGAGTGGAGGAATGAGAAGGAGGATGAGGGTGAAAGAGCAGCACAAAGTAAGCAAGTGAGCAGAGGAAGAAGAAGAGGAGGAGATGGAAGTCAAATAAGCCAAGGGATTTAAGTTGTGGTAGGCCTGTACTTAGTAAGGATAAAATCAGTTTAAAAACTTGTATGTATAATCTCAATTCGCTGCAAGGTGGTTTGGTGGTTAGCACCGTTGCCTCGCAGCAAGAAGGTCGCCGGTTTGCATCCCGGTGAGGACACCCGGGATCTTTCTGCGTGGAGTTTGCATGTTCTGCCCGTGCAGTGTGGGTTCTCTCCAGGTTCTCCGGCTTCCTCCCACACAGTCCAAAAACATGTTGAGGTTAATTGGTGATTGTAAATTGTCCGTAGGTGTGAATGTGAGTGTGCTTGGTCTCTAAGTGTGGCCCTGTGATAGACTGAGTGTCCCCTGCCTTCTCTCTAAGTCAACTGGGATAGACTCCACACCAACAGGCCGACGGAGTCAGAGCAGGTTCTGAACCTTTGTCCTTTTCATTTAGAGGCAGCTGCTCTAACTATTGAGCCACTGGTATCCAAATAGATAAATTATGTGGCAGGAAAACTGTTTTCACAAGCTGACAGGAAGTCTAATGAGCCAAACACCGCACCGTGTGAGCTGAGTAGTCTTATGAACACAGGAAGTTGTGAGGGGGAATTGGAAAATGAAAGCCCTTCAGATGATCATTAGCAGCGCTCTCACAATTAATAAAGGGGCAGAGATCGAAGCTGCAAACCCTGTTGGTTAGGGTTTTTTTTTCATATTTTGAGATGAGGGAAGCTGCAGGGATGATGTTGATGAAGAGCACAACTGAGTCTTTCTTTCCCACAGATGCATTTATGTCATGAGTTTTTGGCTAAAGAACTGGAAAAATCCAACAGAGGGCAGCAGGTTTTATCTTTTTGTTAAGATTTTAAAACTTTAGTGAGAAGTTCTAGTCCATGCAAACATCCCTTTCTGTTGAACTGATGCAGATTTAATTCAAAACACTGCTCTTCTAGCTCATTACTCTTGTCAAGGAGTGCATGAAGACTGAGCTCAGGCATAATGAGTAAACGCTTTCAGGCAGTGGGTAACCGCAAATTGATAATACCATTAAAAACCTCACTGTTTACCAGAGGAGGGCTGAGGACTTCCAGTTATAATTTAACCTCCATCACTCAGGAAAAATATCAGTGTCACTGCAAATTAATATTTAATAGATGACAAAGAGAGGCTGTGATCTTGCCACCAGCCAGTATTGATTTATTAATATCTTTTCCGCCTGCACACCTGTTGTGTTCCTCCTTTAGAAATCGGATTAGAAAAGCAAACACAGCAGTCGTTGGGCTCTCTGCAGCCAGACGCCATTCCTGGAGGAGAGCTCTGACCGCTGACGTACGGAGCACTCAGAGTAGAACAAATTGATTCCTGAATGGACAGATTATTTTAAAAACCCTCCTGTGTCTCCCCTGAGCTTTTATTCCGCTAATTTCCAAGCATTTCAATCGCCTGATTTGATTTGATATGATTTTGGGGATGGAAAAGAACACTGAAAAGGCTTTTTTTCCCCCAGATAATACAAATAAATTCAGGTATTTTTGACACACATTTTACGTTTGGATCAGACCTCATGTTACATACTATTTTAGTATGCACTGATCTGAGGGGGAAACAGCTCGCCTGGTTCTGCCCAAATCAAAGAAATCCACCTCTAAACTTGACTAACTTGGCACATTACAATTCATTTGATTAATCTGCATTAAAAACTGAAATTCAAAAATGACAAGATTTTAGGGGGATCTTGTTCTCGACAGCAACAGCAGTCCTGCAAGCTTCTCAACATTGCAAATATTTGCTTTTACACATCAAGTAAAACAAAACATGAAGTGATAGCGAGCTAAAGCTTATGTGACTTTGCTAGCATGAACCTTTGCTAACATGTGACCAGTTGAAACAGCACAATTTACCTGCTCTTGGACTGTTGTGCTGCTTTCAGATCTTCTAATGAGAAAAAATGCCAAAACCAAGCAACAGGAAATGAAATTTTCCAGGTAAGTTATATTCTAATAGTTTGTCGTGGTCTGTACATGTTAAATTACTGTTTATCACTTTAAGAAATCTTTCTCTTAAGCTGTGAGAGAATGAGAGTGACTGCTAACTACTAGCTTAACTTAGCTAATACTCAGCTAAGCTGTCTAGCTACTATTCATATTTCTACTGAACTCAAAATAAAATATTGTTACAATTTAAAAAACTTAAACATGCATTTTATATGCTGTATAACCGACAAATCACATAAAATTCTCCAGGGTCAAAAAATGACATGGCCTCTACTGAAATCTGCACTGCTAGCTAGCGTTAGCAGAAGTTTAGCTGTTTTTTTTCTGTTCTTTACTGTGAAGTTTTACCTGCTGCCATGTTTAGTTATTTGAAACAGCAATGTGAAAGTATCTGTTAATCAAAACTGTGTTTTTCATTTACAAATAACAGCCAGAGGGAAATTAATAACAAATTTTAGGTGTGGTCACTTAAGGTTAGCCACAGCTGTGAAGCCAGTGAAGACAATAGCGTAGCCCTAGCCCTGTTGCTAGCTGGCTTTGTGTTGCAGAAAGTGAAATAAATGTGCTACCAAGTGCTACAGCGCACAGATTGCTGAACCAGAATGCAGTAACAACACAGTGAAAGGGCAGATATCATTTTGTATGCAATGAAACAGGTGTCAGAAAGTCAATTTATGACTCAGTGTAAGTTACTGGATTGTACGGCAGGATTGAAAACAGATGCAACATTGAGCTAATTATGCTAATGTGACATTACATCCCATTCAAACATTGTGTCTGCCCTGTTGTTGATTTTTAACTGTGATCTTAAACTGCATTTGGATTGACAGCTCGATTGATCTGCAAAGCCTCCAGGCCCCGCCAACAGCTCCCACAATCAGCCCACTTGTGGACAGATCAATCGTGCTGTCACTCTAAATGCAGTTTATCGCTTGCTTTTGTTGTTGTGGCAGCTTTAGCTCTGAAATGGCACAGATTGGTGCAGGATCTGTGTCTGCATGGAGTGCTGGCTTTAATCCTTGCCCAGGAAAGCGGCCTATAGCTGACAAAACGCCTGTGTAGCACAAAGATGATGTTGCTTTTTAAATGCATTTGCTTTGTGACCACATGATTAGATGCTGTGATGGCTGTTTGTGCACTTATCCTGTCTGTGGTTTGCAGTAGCTTTCCTGCAAGGCGAGCCCTTGTGTTTCCTGTTGACCCCCCTAATCCTGTGTAGATGCACCCGTCGTCAGATCTATTTTCCAACGGGGAGAGGCTTCACTGTCTGTCCCTCACAAGCAGCTGATCGGGATTTTCTCTCAGCTTCTTCTTTCTTGTCCCGTGACCCCCTGAATTCACATCTCGTGGCCTCCTCACAGTCAACACACATACTTGCTGCTGTATCCAGACATGACAGAGGGGTCGGCGTAGTGTAAGTCCCCTCGCCGGTCTGCCTGCTCGGGCCACACTTGTCTCCCCAGAGCCAATTATAATAGCAGCTGTTGCCAGACCTTCAAGTGACATTAAGAGGCTATTAAATCAGCATCAATTAGACTGTCTGTGATGCACTGCCAGACGAAATGCCCGTATCATAGGGCTCTTTCCCTGCTGTATTACTGTGTCATTTCCTCAGCTTTGAGGAGGAGGAGCGATCATTAAAAGGGTAACTTGAGGTTGAATCCAACAGATTGTGTTTACTTGAAGGGAAGGACTGAGAATGTAAAATTAGAAAATGAAGAAACCTTTTGTTTCTTCATTAATTTATGAATCCATCAAAAAATAAATGATGCTCAAGTAAAAGGTACAAAATTTGAAAACAGACCGCGGATAGAGGTTGGTCTTGATGTTTAATCACAGATTGTTGTCTGAATCCACAATCAGAATCATGCTGTGAATTTAAGTCAGTTTTTAAGCAGACGGTTTTGGCTTTAACTCCACGTCCATGTTTGAGCTGTACGTTGAATTTTTTTTCCTGAGAGTTACTAAGAACAAGATGAACCTCTCCACGACTGATCTATCTATGATTTAAACCTGCAATCAAGCTACCGAATCAGTGTTTGTTTGGGTCTGG